TTCATGGGCAGTTTTTGAAATTGTTGTAAATAACGTATTAAATAGTTTCAGAAAATAGAAATGCAAGTATCCTTATTTGACTCTCATGTTCACAAGTAAAGCAAATTGGAGAAGAAGACTAGGGAAGGGAAAATTTGACTCTCCGAAGTCGTGGAAGTTTAAACGGAAAGTGAAATTCGGATGGAAAATTGATTAATTGCGAAAACCAACACAGTTTTTGATGTGGAATACCGAATTATCAAGTTCGAAAAGTATTAGCAAAAATTATTATCGATCTTTGACAACGTAAAATTGATTGAAGAAACTCTGACAAGAACTCTAGCCCATACTTACCGACTTCTATTCATAAACATGAAGCCGTCAATTGTTGCAGCTTGCCGCACACTAGGACTACAACGGCTAGCCCCAATACTAGTAAATTTCGATTACCATGCAGATCGTGACGTCATCTGGTGGAGATTCAATTGGCTCAAGAGCGTGATTAATTGTAAGGGTCATCCTTCTATGATAGAGGATTGTTTTTTTTCTCCCGAAAGTCAGATTCTCTAAAACGGAAGCGAGAAGATTAGTTATCCTAACTTATACACAAAAACAAGCATTGTTGGTTTACAGTTTACAGCTGGAACACAAAAAGTTTTTAAAATATTTTCAGTAAAGGAACATAAGAACCAGGTTAAAAAAACTCCCCCGTAAAAAAATACAACCATAAATAACTGCCAAGAAATAAAAGATATTTTCTTTGAATTATTTTCCGGACTCGTAAGCCCGATACGAATAATTTGCATTTTATGGACTAGGAAAGCGTTGTTTATCGCCAGTCCAAAAAATTGATCCTTGTAATCAATAAAGTGATCCTTGTTTCCCGTAAAATAAATTATTAGAAATGCAGATCCAGTATAAGCGGTTTTCTTAGGAGCTTTGCCAAGCAAATGCCCTCATTTTTATAAAGAAGGTTCAAAAACGGATTTAATTTATTTTGTGCTATTTCTCCTTTTGTCTGAAGTAAAACATTTGAACGAGCAATTTACAACTGCATGTGTGCAAATCTTTAAAAATGCTCTCTTTCATACTTAAAAACGATACGGTTTTCACATTAAACACAGTACAGTTTCAGGAGAGCTAAATGAGAAATGAAAGTTAGTATCTTCGTGTGATCAAATTTTGCATCTTTTTGTTAAAAAAAGCTTAAAGCTTTCTTTTCACCAAGATCTTTTAACATGCAAATTCGAAAAATTGGATTTCGAAGTTAATTTGACTCCGCCGTCCTTCCTCAAATGACTACTCAAACACATTGCCTGATTTGTAAAAACAGCTTGTGAAATGGAGGTGTTGGTTGCTTCACAAATCTAGGCAACATACATGTACAACGCAGCGGCCTAGCCCACAGCACTGATCACCATGACGATTTTAGCTCTCATCGTTGCACCTCCCAATTTCAAACCGGTAACGACACACACCAATGCATTCCCCCAATACTAGCTACAACAACGCCCTCCCAACTCCATCCTCACCCTTCCACTGCCCAACTCTCTCAAAACTCAAGAGGACCCTCCACTATTGAACCTGTAACAACACAAGACCCATGGTCAAATCCCTGTTTAGAGCTCATAAACCACAAGGAAAATATACACCGACGTGATCCAATGGAAACCGGTCTTTATGATATTATCAAAAAACAAAGTTGGTTATAATTTCACTCAACTCCTCAGAAGAACCCTGAACAGCCTAACAGATACAACGAAATTACCTTCGCAGTGCAAGCACTAATGATCTTCCCACACTTACTATTGTTCATTCAAAGTCCGAAAACGATGGATCCTTATCTAAAACAGAAGCAGGGCGACTTAAGCAATGGCAGAAAGTAGACCTGAATGACCTATAAGCGCTTGACAAAAAGAAATAGACGATAGACTGAAACTAAAATAGAGCAGTTCAGCAAACTGAGGAATACCCGAAAAACATCAGGCGCAAATGCAAAATTAACGGACACATCCAAACGGGTTCTTTCGCTCGACTAGGTCGTCAAGGGTAAAGTACTAGAACAGAATCATTGAGACGCACCCACCATCTGAGCCTACTGATAATAACTACACTACACCAATCTCAAATGCAACAATTCCTTTCCGTCCATCCTTATTTGATCGGATAAACGCTGAACAGATCAAGAAAGCAGCCATGAGAACGCACGGATCTCATCGACCATCTGGCCTTGATGCACATGAATGGAGACATTTTTTCAAACTTTGGACAGCAATCAACTGAGAATGTTAAAAAATTTGGCTGCGAAAGAACAAAACTCAGAACTAACGGAACGATATAACGCATATAGATTATTACCTTTAGATAAGAGCCCAGGAGTAAGACCCATAGGCATAGGAGAAGTTATGCGTTGGATAAAAGGACAAACATTAAGTAAATGACTAAAAATGAATTTATCTTGCTAGGTTCAAACTACCACCTCTGTCTAGGACAACAATGTGGCTTTGAACGTGCGATCCAAACTCTAGGAGATCAATACAGCAAAACCTCCACAGAGGCGATATACTGATTGATTCCGGAAACGCTTTACACTCTCGAAAGCTGGTATTGCAAAACATCAAAAATACATGCCTATCGCTGTTAACAGCTACCAAAACTCGTACTCAAATCCATCTAAACTAATCAACAACAAAAGAACGTCTACTATCAAGAAGGGACACAACGAGGGGATCCGCTAGCAGTTGCCATGTTTGGTCTATCCATAACACCCATCTTAGAATTTTCATCAGTAGAAAACAAAACCCCGATATGTTACGCAAATGTGGTCATTTAAGCTATTTACAAACCGTCTTAGATAAAATTGTATCACAAGGTATTTTCGCATGGCTATCATTTTGAAGCATCCAAATGCCAGCTCCTATTCAGGGTTAAAGAACCCAGTGAAGCCGAGAAATTCCTCAAAATTACAGGAATCATTACAAAAGCAGGCGCTCGAGAGCTTGATTTTATTATCAAAAAAAAGTTTGAATGTAGAAAGCTCGAGTTTCAACAGCATGAAAAAATCAAAGATTTTAAACATAACCAAAAACGCTAAAACTTCCCCCCAAATTGTTTATGTCTGCTATACTGAAGGTGTTCAAAATATGTTTTGTTTTTCCTTAGGACAACGCTTAATACAATGGAAATCATAGAAACGTGTGAAAAGAATATCAAAGAACAACTAACACCTAAGCTAGTCGGTAAAGGCACATAGAACCTTTAGTTGCCTGAGATTTCTTCCCTACGCCCTAAAATGGGCGGCCTTAACATCAAGCTGCCATCATATCATTAAAATTACTTAGAATGGTCTAAGTAAACATCACCAAAACTGGAATCTAATGATCTTGTTACTGAAATAACACAACGAGAAAGAAATTACACAGCAAGCCAAAATCAAACAATTAAAAACTGATAAAAAAATGACAAATCTTATAAACTCTTTTAAGGGAGCTGACAATTACGCAATCGGCCTGGCCTCTGAAAAGAGAGCCTCTAACTGGCTCATTGTTCTACCACTGAGCAGATACGACTTCAACCTACATAAATAAGATTTCAGAAAAGCTGTTTACTTAAGATACGGATGGGAACCGACCAAAACCTTACTCAAATGTGCATGTGGTGCAAATATCAACCTGACTCATGCCCTAAACTGTGCAAAAGGAGGTTATACAAGCTCATCAGACACAATGAAATTAGAGACTTATTCGCCAACCTAATGAACGAGGTTTGCCATGACGTCGAGATTGCGCCGAAACTTCAGCTGTTGCAAGGCAAAACCTTTTTGAACAATTCAGCTACAACTGAAGATGAAGTGCTCTTTACATTAAATAAACGGAATCTGGGGCTCACGATATAGCCGCGCTTTCTTCGACGTAAGAATTCTTAACCCCATGCCAAAACATTGCGAAAACTAAGGAAAGAGGTATACAATTATCACGAAACGTTGAAGAACTCCAAATATCCAAATTACTCAGACAATCATGCGCACGATGCGGCGATTAGCCGAAAAACTAAGTGAAAAAAAGACAAGAAAGCTACACGGAATCGATAAACTACTAAAGTACTACAATAAGCTTCGCGCTTCTCAGGAGCTCTAAACTATGTGAAAAGAGATTGCCGCACAAAAGTAATTTTATTGACAACTCCAAAGAGGCGCCATTGTAAAGAAAGGACGGCTAAGATAAATTAACATACTACGATTCATTTAATGCTAACGAATGACACTTCATTGATACAATGATACAGTTTGCTGAGATATAATTAATTGGCATGGCCCTATTCAGCTTCTGCATTGACGGTAAATAAGCGGAGAGAACCCTTTTGTAATTAATTTAATTTTTCAGTTTCAAAATTTTTTTTTAATTCAAAAATTCAAATTGGTTGGATATATTTATGATTTATAATGCAGTTATTCTTAACAAGTACTTAAACGCTAATGGATCCACGTTGGGAGTTGGAATTAATTGGAAACGTTCAATTCTTCAGCTCCAGCTTAATTTTCAAGATATCGTGATTTTTCTTACACTTTTTTCGCTGTCAATTCGACAAAAAAGTAATTGAAAAAAATCTCAAAATCTCAAAAAATCTCAATCTTTAAAATTTTTATAGTTGTATTTAATTCGACACTTCACAAGGAATCTCACATATTGTAAGCCTCATAATGTCGTGGTCTTTCCTCTTGCTATCTCAGAATTCTGATGTTAGACGGCTAATAGGATCTTTTTTGGGGAAAACAGAAAAAAAAATTGATCACTATTCACAGTATTTTGTGAATACGAAATTGTCTCTGAATGGTCTTTCCAAGTCTCGGAAATTTGTTTTATTTAAGTTTTTAAAAATATGACAAGTATGTAGTTGGAGAAATAAATTCTTTTTTCTTTCTTGACTGCTACTTCATTGAAAACTAAAAATTTTTGGTTCATCAAGACTATATATTGCTATGAAAAAAATTGTTTATTCAAAATAAAACTAGAGAAGTTAATTTGATCACTTGAAGGTAACGAGACAAGTGCGAGGAATGCGGGGTAAAAAAGGAGTTGCTATTTGTACCCACGCACCTTTAGCCATTCCAAACTCAAATTTTCTAACCTGGCATCGATTTGTGGAATGGATGGAGTATCAGATTATGATTGGAATAGATGTGATTATTATGCCTTATCCCATGAAAATAAGCAAATTTCCACTCCCTGATGAAATAGACAGAGCACTGCACTATTACGTCAAAAAAGGTCACCTTCGCATGATGGATCTGCCTTACTACAGGTCGAGAGCGCTTCCAACTCAATTAAACATATTCATTTTTCCATTTTAACGGAAAGCCCTTGGTTTGAAATTCCAACCAAGAACTTTTAATTCAACTTAAAGTCTTTGTTAATTGATATCATAATCAAGGGTGGATCGCGAATTTTCTCGAGGGTTTTATTTAGAAAATTTTGTCGCCTCTTTTTTACGTCGACCAAATTGATACTCGCAATTTTTAGGTCGACCAAATTGAAAATTTTTGTAGCAAAAATTTTTTTTTGAAAAACTGGCCATAAAAGCGAAAAAAATGCATATTTTTGCTCCTTCCCTCAAAATTAGTCTATGTTGGCGCCCACGTCGCCAAGGCACCTTAACAAAGTTTTTAGGTTAGGTCAGCCAAATCTGGATTTCCTAATATGGTACCACCACACTCAAAGAAATCAACGGCGTTGGAATTTTGAAACTTTTCGAGTAATGCCAGACTTTTCCACTCTCAAAATTATGAGCGAAAAAATTTTAACCTTTTTTTGGCAAATTTTTCTGCATTGACAGACTATTTTTGACAAAACAGGGGAAAACATCATTTTTTTTGTTATTTTTTGACTAAAAATGGTTTTTATCGGCGCGGCACGCGCTCACCATCAAAATTACTGTTTGTTGGCATCAAAAGCGCCCTCAAAACACTTTTCGGACTGGTCTGCAAAAAATGGTTCTCATAATATAGTACGAAAGAGCGACTGGAAAAAATTGGCTATCACCACAGCGGGAGGGGGGTATTAGAGGCAGGCAGACCCATTCAATATAACTCAGTATTATGATAATCAATGTTTTGTAGAGGCAATAGTTTTTCTCGAGATTTACAACAACTTTTTTCGCTGCTTCAGCTTTGTATAAATAGATCATTTATATCAGAAATAAATGAATACGATCAAAATGGGAAATATGTTTAACTGCTCTGATCAGAGAAGGACATTCTGGTATCACTCAGGTAAGAAAAACACGTTTCATATACTCTGAGAGGCTATCAATAGCCGGATCTCTTTAACTATATATCCTCCTTTTAAAAGTGGGAAAATTGTTACTAGGTTCACATATGTTTAACCGCTGAATCATAGTTGTTTAAAGGGAAATTTGTAACTAGGTACCAAAAGGGCGATAATTAAAGAGATCCCTATTAGTCATTAGCATGAAAATACGAAAAAGGGAGTGCCCGCACTGAAGTTTCATGGATAATAATCGATTATATTGGATTTTTATTGTCAGTCTCTACAAAATAACAAAAATAATCGATTATAATCGATTGAAAATGGATTATAATGATAATATTTTTTAAAGCAATAAAATCCCAATATAATCGATTATAATCGATTATAATCGATTATTTTCAAAAAAAATTTCAAAAGAAAAATAACCCATTTTAATCGATTATTATCCATGAAACTTCGGTGCGGGTGACCACTCGCACTAAACAACTTGAGATCGAAATCGATTTAAATCGATTTTTCTACAGATAAAATAATGTTTAAAAATCGATTTACGATAGCACTTCTAGATACGTAAACCAATTTGTAATGGATTAAACGGATTTTTGCAAGGCAGTGAAATCCATCAAAATCTAACAAAAATGATGTAATGAAACTATTCTTTTGGTTTCGAAATTAGAGCAAACATTTGTAATCAAGAAAAATCTCCATCGAGCTACAGAGCAAACGTCGCTCGAGGAGAGTTTTTTGTACCGCAAACTATTATAATGAAAGGAATCCTTTTGAGTTTCTCAAATCTAAGGGCTTCCACGATATGAAAAAAAAATTATGCAAAATTTTCCAAAAGTTTTTTTTATCAACGTTCTAGGCCCGATTGTCTTGGGCAAATGACTTATAAATGAAAAACTCAATTCAGAAAAATTATTTTTTGATGCAGAAAGTTTTCAAATTAGTTAAAATCAGAGTTTTTTTTCAGGTCATACATCAACACGAAAGTCAAATGAAAATATACTCTATAAATTTATTTCCAATTTTCTCTATTCCTTGATAACCCCTTTTTTGTCAATTTTTGTAAGTATTTGCTATACTATGCTTAGAAAACTGATTGCTATCCATTTTTTTTCTGAACGGGCTGGACCACTCCAACCAGTATCGGATTTAGGTGGGTTGCTGGGGGCCGACGCTCCCCCCTCAGGGATTCCACCCTCTGCTGACCCACAGAGTCCCCCTTTGTTCTTTTTTAAGATATCCTTTTCAGGCTGACTTATCCAAACAATTTTCTAAATTTTCTAAAATTTATCTGGTCAAGGTATACTTAGTTCGAGAGGGGAGCGCGTGCCGAAAAAACGCAATTTTATTATCAAAATTTTCCAAAAAAGGGTTAAAAACGATTTTTGGCGTGTCTTTTTTTAAAACTCTGCCTGCGCCACTGAAAATTTGGTCAAGTTAGGTTAGGGTCTGTAAAATGTTATGGGGGAGCTCACAAAATCAATTCGGAGCATGGGTGGATCTAAGATGTTTTTGAGGGGGGCGGATCGAAAACCCTGTCGAGTTTTTTTATGTCAACCAAAAACAGATTTTACGAGCTCTCTCGGCTCTTTTTCCTTCCCCCTCCCCTCCTGCAAATTTTTATAATTCATGTTACTGTTCACATTGTCCGTGGATCTTCATAATTAACCTTGTAAAACCAATCCTTAGACCATAAAATTGATGCTTGTGTGAGGTGGGGGGGGGGATGGAAAAAGAGCCGCTCTCTCAAATCACTAAATAGGACATTGATCTGACCAATTTGTTTGTGACGCATGCTTATCTTTTGGTACAGTTTTGATAGCAAAGATGTGTTTTTCTCTACAGTGCGCGCTTCCCACTCAAAACATAAGATAAGTTGTAGGCTCAGCCAGCCAAAAATGGAGGTCTTAAAATAGCATCAAAGGGGGATCCTTAGGGTAGTCAGGGGGTCGATTCCCCCAATCCGCTACTGCTACGACCTGTAATGATTTGAACCGGAACACTGATCAAAGCGAAAATTGTGAAATATATGAAGGAACTGTGATTCATTTATTTTTTTGTCTTATATGATTTTCATTGGGACAATACGTGAACTTAGATGTTTCGCTTTTTGCTAGCCGATACGGTTTTCCCCGTCAAAATGTAACCTCTACAACTATCCCCCCTATAGTACCTAGTAACGAATTGCCACCCTAGTAATAACTTATTCAACGATAAACCATGTGTGAATATTCCCTCTTTGAAAAAGAGATCCAAAATAAAATAATTAAATATCCAATCGCCCTTTTTTAAGCAAAACTAAGTCTAGTTCAATCTAATGGCACAAAACTCTTGTCTTTATCAGATACTTTGTCTAATAATCACTACAAGACATAGACCAGAGCTGTGAACTAGTTCATTTTCGTGCGTAAAAATGACTCTGCCGACTTTTTCTTAATAGTTTACAGAGTAGTAAGAGCAGCTCAAATCATAACATTTTTTAAGGAATCGAACGCTATTTACCGGATATCGTCTTGGTCAAAACTGTTCCATATGACTCACTGCTATCTCAAACACGCTCTGGAGTTCGAACATATCCTGTCTCTTGACCTGGATGAAGTACCTGGATTTCACGCGGATCGACCGCCCAATATTTCAGAAGCCATATCCTCAATGAAAGCTGCTCTGGGAAGTTCAGGTTATTCAAATTAATTAGGCTTGTGTCAATTTAATCGCTTCCCGGTTAACTACTAAAACTTAATCATATGTTTCCATATCATGGAAAACAGAACATTTCCATAGAAAAAATATGCATGAAAATGGCACGATACGCATTTCCCTTACTAAAAAATTGTAATATAAGCGTTTTTCCGAAAACTAACATTATTAACGTTTTGAGTTTGGCCTTATAATGTTGTTTTGTTTGAAAAAAATCACACATATAAAATGGATTTCGAGATTCATCTTCTAATTAAACTGATGAAAAACTCAGAGATATAAAAAAAATTGTAACTATTTGTTTGTGGATGAAGTTTTCTACTTCGAAAAACTCCGTGTTGTTTTTTGGCAGTTTTTTTGGTTATATTACCATATAAAATTTAAAAAATCATTTTGATTGGGGCTTTTGGTTCTTTTGCTTGAAAATTTTAGACGGACTGCTTTTGAGACCGAGATTTAAAATGCAGCATGCAAAATTTAGGTACAGCAGTTTGTTTGAGCATAAAGGTGAATTTTTTTCTCATTTTTGAAGTGTCATTCATTCATTACGAAAAAAGTTTGCAGAAAAATTTTATTTAGCCGGTTTTTCACACCATTCAGAATCATACTTTGGACTACCAAAGTGACTCAACTGAAAAACAATGATGTTAATTTGATGCAAATGTTTTTAATGGCTTTTGAAAAATCTCTTTCTGGAAAAAAAGTTTTCATTCATTTTTCATATGCTGAAAATGTGTCCCAAGCTTTGTTCTATAGACTCAATGATTTGAAATGAATGTTAATTATTTTTGTATGCAGCTTAACTGTGATTTTCAAGAAAGAACAGAGGATGGTTTCTTTTCAAATATTACTTACCTTCGAAACTTTTGCTTTTTGTGTTTGGGGAAACAAAAATTAGAAGACGTACACTATGAAAAATTCAACAAAACTAAATAAAAATCGGAAATTGAGAACATGCTCAGAAAACGTTTTAAAACCTTTATATAAGTCGTGAGGCTCTGGTTAGCTTGCAATTTTAAACTTCCATCGTTGGTTTTTCTGTTTAAAGAAGTCTGTAATAAAAATTCACGCTCGTTGTGGATTTTCTCGTTTTTTCTTTACAATTATTCAAACAGGTCAATTAAGGATTGTTTGCTAAGGGGAAGGCATCTCACGTTCTCTAGTTTTGAAAGTGGTGAAAAGGCTAGACAAGATAGTAGCAGTAGCAGGGTACTGCAATATGGGTGGGGTTCCTTGTCTTCTTTGGTAGGTGAGGAAAGGGATTATCTCTGTACCTGTCTTATAAATATATTTGCTACAGCTGGTGTGGGGCTACATTTGTTAGATAGCCTTTGTTTGAATTTTTGTTGTAAGCTTCACTTTATATCAACATATTTTCACACCAGTGTAAAGTCACATGTTTACACTGAAAAACAGTATTTCATGATAAAATTGTTAATCATGATCACGAGATTTACAATTAAAAGCGCCATTTATAAATGAGATTGTTCAATCAAGAACATCTCGCAGCCACCCTTATCATTATTTGGTTTGGCGAACACATATGCCAGCCTAACAGTGAGGTGAGTAATCTTTCCTAAAGCGGCTTCTTACTTTACATGACCTTGCTATACGAGTAGGACCGGTGAGTTGCGGTGTTACGCGGCCAGAATTTACGTGCGGCCTATTCTTCATTTAGAGTCCATTCTTTATTCTTGAGTCCAGGATGAAGACTTGAGTGTAGTCTTTTTGTCAAACATGCAGATCGGTAAAATTACAAAAGGTCTTACCAGAATGCAGTAGATAGATGTTTATAGATCTTCGTCTGTATTGTTGCTTCAAACCGGGGTTAGTGGTCTTTAGCTGACGAGTTCTTCTGTTTGACAACAATTACCGAGAAAATTCTCATGACAGTTCTGCTGAAAATTTTTTCAAAGATGATCTCGACAGTCAAACTTTGTTATGAATCTGAAGGAGGCTGTACCACGCCCCGCAAAAAGGAGGAGTAGAAGGAGGAATAAAGACTGATAAATTAGAAAAGTTGTCTTTCAGAATATCTCAGCCTTCAGCGAGCTTTTTTTTCTTAGTTTTTGTTTGATACCAGGAAAACCAGAACCGTTGTCAGTAAGTGAAATAATTGGCAGTCGACGGTGGGAAATGAAACTTATTGCATGCTGTTGCAGTCAAGTCCTCGGTAATTTTTAAGCGAATGTCCATTGTCCTTGTTAAGAGGCAGTTTAAAAAATAGATGAAGGCTTTCGTTCTTTTTTACCACCCGAGAACTAAAAATCCTATGTATTCCAGACCAACACTAGTAAAAAAAAGTTTTTTAGCTTTGTGAACCTATTGGCAGGCAAGTCTGCTTAGAAGGTTTGATGCCTCTACCTGCAAGTTGTCTACAGACAAATCATCTGATGGCAATCCCCTGTAGAGCAACGCAAAGATCAAATTTGTAGTACGTCTGCTGAACACTTTACTAATGTATTTTGCTCCAAAAAGAATAGAACTTTCATGACGCTTGATAAAAACTTTATTAGAAGGTCTTTGGCACTAAAATTGATTGTGTTTTTTGTTGAGATTCTTTTGTTTAGTAACGATTAGTTTAGTAACGAGGTGTGTTTAACACCCAAATAGATTGTTTTGAACAATTGTAAATGGTTGCAGCAGGTTTTTTTTTTCTGTGTAGGGGTCAGTTGTTTGCTATATCTTCAATCTCCTTACTAAAAAAGATCTGCTGTTGCAATTTGGTGAAATTATAACCGCGCGCTTCATCGAGGCATTTCAGATGCAGTTTGCAACGACATTTAATAGTGGTAAATTCCTAAATTTGAGAAACCCTTGCGGCTCCGGGTAACAGGTTTGCTCATGAAATTTTTTGTTACATCTATGAATGGTTTGAAGTAGCTGTCTTGTCCATTGAATTCGTCTAGTTTTTGGTTGTTTAAGAAGTTCACAGCTCTTCATTGTAAAGAAGAAGTCTGTTGATTCCAATCAAGTAGTTTTCATATATTTAGGTTGAAAGCCAATTTTTATATGGTCTGCAGGGTTGAGTTTGCACTTTGTGAAATTCCAGTTTTCAGTAATAGTTTCATGCACGCAATACAGTTTTTCAACTCTTCAGAGGTTTTCAGCCAACCAAGTACCACGTTGCTTTCACATCAAAAGTGTTTGTCTTTGAGAAGTTTAAAAATGTCAAATTGAAACTTCTTAGAAGCTAGATACCTGTCAACCGAAACTTGATTTTTTTCCTTCGGAAGCAGAATTTGAGATTTCGGGTTTTAGAACAAATTTTGAGACTTGTTAATTTCCAAAATGCTACATATTTTATTAAATGTCTCTTTTTCTTGCGGCCTGTCTGAAGACTTGAGCGTAGCGTTTTCGTTAGGAATACAGGCTGGTAAAAGTACAAAAGGCCTCCCCAGATTGATATAACTGGGCTAATGGGTCCTTGTCTTTATTATCGCTTTGTACAGAGGTTAGTGCTTCTGTTTCGAAAGCCTTCTTGCTTCTGTTTTGGAAGACTTCTGTTTCGACAGCAATTGTCGAGAAACGTATCATGAAAGTTCTAGTGAGCCAAGACTCAAGAAAAAAGATCTAAAGTCAAGCTTCGTCTGAGAATTTGAACTAGTCTTTACCATGCCCCTTTAAACTTAGAGCAGAGAGAGGGTCGAAACGCCATTCTACTGAGCATTTTGTTTTTCAGAGTTTCTTGGTCTTGGCCGAGGGGTTTAATGTAGTTTTTGTCTGGCACCAATAGAAATCGAACTGGATAGTTCACGATGGGAAATCGGCCTTTATGCGTGTTCTACCAATGAAGGTTAGAGGCCTCAACCTGCAAATGAAATGTAAATTGCGACGCTATTTAGAAGTAAAATAAGAAACCCCTGCGGTTGCGCACAACAGTTTCGTTCATAGAAAACTTGTTACATCTATGATTGGTTTAAAGTAGTGGCCTTTTTGTTGCGTTCGTCAATTTTTTGGTTGATAATCAAGTTCAAAGCTGTTAATTGTGATGAAGAATTGATGAAGATATTGTAGGGATTGAGCAATATAGATTTTCAATTTAACATAAGTACAACAGTGCTGTCACGCCAAATGTGTTTTTCTTTGTGATCTAGGGAAGGTCAGTTGACTATTTATTTAACTAAGCGAGCTCCAAGTACAGCTGCTTGTAATTTGAGCTCAGGTATACTTATCTGTTTTATGGAACAACTTAGGCCCGACATATCAGAAAGGAGCACAATGTTTGATTTTTGTCCTGAACACGATTGCAGATCACTGTGCAATTAGCGCTTTTTGAGGCACCGTTAAAATTATGTCACTGATATCTTGGGTTGGAAGATGTCAACTCGAAAAATCATGGTGTGTTGATAAAAGAAGAAGCTAGATACTCAAACCTAAATCTCGTGTCTTTTATTCTGCGGAAGCAGGTCATCCCACGCAAGGCTTTCTTTCCGAACATCTCTAAGGATATTAATCAATGTTATCCTTGATGGGGCCATGATACCAAGAATGAAAAATAAGCAAACGATGAACGACAGGAGTTTCCGTATTAAATATTTTTCACCTGTAGTTTTCAATTTTGACAAATTCGACTCATGAAGACGTCTTTGTTTTTCATCCCACTTACAACCCAGGATACGGCAGTTTGTTTTTTGTCTGTGCCAAAAACAGAACACTTAAGACAATTAATTGAGTTGAAACAAACTTCGTCAGGTTGAATCCATCTCTAAAAAGCAAAAATTTGAGACTCTGAGTGAATATTCCTTTTTTTTTTTCATTTTCAATTAAGTACAGAGAGTCGTCGATTTTCAAGCTTTTAGGAGATACTGGCCTAGTTTTAGACGGCGCAAACTTAAGAACGTTTTTTTGCTCAAGAACTCAGAGTTGTTTGCTCAAGAACGAAATTAGCTAATGATGGCAAGCACCTTGCTCCAATTATCAGGCGTTGGTGCCGACACTGTTTTATTGTGCTCTTTGTTTGTCACAGAAAACAAAGGG